GGGGGAGGGTGAGGAAATGGAGGGGGTGACCAGCCAGAGCCAGCCCGCCTCCTCACTCTCCCTGCTGCCCCTCCTGTGGTTGGGGGGGGAAGAGAGTAAGGGGGTGGCAGGAATTTCTTGCTGTCGCCTGTCCCTTTGCTGCTGTACCTGCTCTGTTACCGTACCTGCTGTTGCTGTTGCTGGTATACCCCTGCAGGTTGTGTTCAGCACAAACTCCTGCTGCAGGCAGTTATGGGGGAGTGTTAGAATTTATATGTAACTGCCTGTAGCTGTAGTTTAGTGTAGTTATTATAAACTGTTGGTGGTGCACCTTCTTTGCATGCTCTGTTTACTATATGTACCCTAGTGCTATAGTGAACATCACTTTTCCCATTCTCGACTCTCACCTTGGCACAACCTCCTCGAATTCCCCTAGGCCTAGGCTACTAAGCCTAGGCCCTACCTAAAACCTAAGCTTACTCTTACTTAGTAACTCAACACAGTTCGGCAGCCACACGGAAGCAAAATGTGAGGAAGATGAGGCGAAGGTAAGGAGGGCGTCAACCCAGGGTCAACGAATTTTGACCCTGGGTTGACTGCTCCGTGGAAAACCTGCGCCATGGGGGAGCTGGCGCAGATTGTAGGGGGGGATACGAAAAATCGTCGCAGGAGAGAGGCACATTTGGCCTCAAATGTGCTTGTCCCAGGGCACTGTAGCGGGAACAGAAAGGAACAATCGGAAAAACAAAAGATTCGCTCCCCCTGCTGTTGGGGAAATCCAACTTAAAAAAAAACGAACAATGTATTTTTTAATGTAGTAACCCTTTCCTTTGTAGGGTCCAATGTTGGCCCGTGAACAGTGAACCCAGGTGGAATCAGAAAAGTGATTCTTCCGTTTTCAAAGAATCACCTTCTTCCGTCTCACTAGGGCGGAACCTTTCCGCCAAGGGGGAGAGAATAAGGACAGAAGACGGCGCGGAAGCAATGTTTGGAGGTGTTCGCGTCGCTGCTGCTAAACACATGCGTTTCGATTTCCGGAAAGTTTACCCTACAGCCCGTACTGTTTGGCCCTCGATAATGCGATTAGAAGCTTCGAAACATTTTTCTTCCGCCCTTCTTCCGTGGCTGCCGAACTGAGCCTAGAAATTTGTCCAATACGAATTCGCCTTACACTGAGAAATTTGTGATCGGGTCGAGTCTGACTAGAGGTTGGTCTGATAGGGGCCCCGTAGGAACACGCTCTAAGGCATAAAATCTCGTTTTCATTCGGCGACATGCTTGTGCCTATGTACACATCCTAATACATTATGACAAAGAAAGGTACTGATAAATGTACTAGCTTCCAGTTGCCACAGCACATTTGTCCGTGGGAACAGAAGCAAATACAAAAAAAAGGCTAAGGTACCGTACGTAAAGCCTGCTGTGACAAGATGACATGCTGCATTTAGAGCGACACAGTATTGCGAAGGGGAGCGAGCTCAGCGTTCTCTTCGCATTGAGGTGTCCGCGTCGTCGTCGTTACACGCTTAGGTGTGCCGTTGCGCGTTCCAAGGATCTCTTGACGATGGACAGACATTCCGCAGGCACTGGAGATTGAAGCCTCTTCATCTTCATCGAACGCTGCCAGGCGAGATCGACGCACGGAACCGTGTCGGCAACCTAAAACGCGTGCGCGTGTCAGTTCAATGTCATCAGGTGAGTGCGCGCCGGAACGACGATCCAAGTCGTCGACGTACACGGCAACAGCTCCATGCACAGCCGGTGTGAGTCTCGAAGCTGACGTGGCCAAAGTAGAGGCCATCCCGCATGTGTCGGCGATAGGCGAACGAGGCATGCAGGCGCGAACGAAAGCCAGAGAGGCAGAAGATTCCATAATGGATTCTAGGGTTTGACAATGAAGCTTGCGAGGGGTTCGCTTAAACGGAGACGCGTAGATACGTGCTTTTTACTAGGGTCAAATGAGAAAGTAGCTGGAGTGGTTCACTCAAATTGAGGCGAGGAATAATTTGTACGGAGAGGGCAAGTGCTGCAGATACGAGATAAAATGCGATGGTAGCGAACCTTTTATGCGCTTTGGAGCAGTGATGGGTGTTTGACGGATCAGTGGCAGAAAATCACGAGACGAGGGGAGGAGGGCGGAACCAGGCAAGGCGGAGAACAGAGCGGAAGGGAGGCGGGGTGCAGCGTTGAAGCATGGGCGGAGCCTCAATTGAAGCGCACACGAAAGGCTGGCGGGCAGAACATGCTTTGGTTGGCTGCGCGGAACGAGTATGGCGGACCAGGCTCCAGGTGCCAGTGTTGTCTGTGGGGGAAGGGATTCGAGTTTGATTTTGTGGGAATCATTTCCACTGGGAGCACGAGGCCCCACCTGAGGTGGTTTGGGTAAGCATGTGGGTAGAAATATCCACTCTTCCCGCCCAAGCTGCACTGACCATGAATTTGGAGGGTCAACAACACGCAGAATCAACTGGTGTTGAAAAATGCTGTAAGCTAAAATCAAATCCTTTTGCTTCGCTATAGCCTCGGGGGCGTTTCCGCAGCATCTATAACACACTGTAGACTTCGTTGACCTGGAACTTGACACGATCCTCCTTACCCCTCCAGCGGATTCGATTACACTGACTGTTTCCAGGGGTGACAGGAGAGGATGTGATGTAACGCACGTGAAATGCACCGACTGAACAGCTCGTACAGTCTTCGTTGAAACCCACGTGACGTTGTCATCAGGGCACAAATGATGATTGAAGTGGTGTGTGGTTGGCCCCGAATCTCATCACCCTAGTCTCTCCCCAGAGAACGCAACCATTTTGTGGAGGGGAAGAAAGGCAGGGGCGGCGGAAATGATTGAAGATGGGTGGAAAGTGTGTCCATGTGTGTGTGTGTGTGTGTGTGTGTGTGTGTGTGTGTGTGTGTGTGTGTGTGTGTGTGTTGTGTGTGTGTGCGTGTGAGTTTACGCGGTGTACAAAGATTGAAGAGGGTTGTGTATGCGCCTGTGCGGTGGTGAGGGGCGGGGAGGGAAAACGGTGAGAAACCATTCCTGGAATCCTTAAAACCAGGGTGCACATTCAACGCGGTTCGGCTTGAGATGTTGGGAAGGGGGTTTGGAGAAAAACAGTGATTGGCTCACGAGGGGCGACAAAAAAATGATTCCGCTAGAGCTTCGGGCATTTCGTAGGTGGCGGGAGGGGGTGAAATGGCGGGAGTGGGTGAAACCGAATGGCGGGAGGGATGAAACAGATTGGCGGGAGGGGGGGGAAACGAAATTGCGGGGGAAGGGGGAAACAAAATTGCGGGGGAGGGGGGAAACGAATTTCGACGGGGAGGGGGAAATGAAATTGCGGGGGCGTGGGGAAACGAAATTGCGGGGGAGGGGGGAAACGAATTTCGACTTGAAGGGGTTGAAAGCACACCTCGTAACCCACTCAGTCAAGGGATAACCTTTGATGCACATTCAGCTGAATGTGCACCCCGGTTTTAACCAGAATACTCGCTACTGTTCCTTCAATATTGTGATGCCATTTCTTGCAGAAATGAGTGTATGCTATGTAAGTTGGAAAATCTTATCCACACATGCTTATAATGCTATCCATCGACTCTGAACATGTAAGTCTGATCAGGGAGATAAAAGTTTTGTCGATTAATGTATCTGAACATGTAAGTCTGAACGTTCTATATATGTAGAGAATAACAAATGCAGTTTTAATCAACATCAATTCAGACTTTAAAGCGATAACGTTGGAACAAGCTGACTTCGCTGCTCTGAATCTGGAGATTTGGAGTATGAAACTTCACTACGGCCGCCATAGTCCTCTTTTTGCCTCCGCAAAGGCGTCCCATTCCTAACTCCTAGGACCTGGAGTCGCCTCGTACTATGCTGATGACAGTTGACAGCAACATTCAAGCTCTCGGGCTTGCATGTTCCAGATAAGGACACGTCCGATGTCCATGCCGCGTCCATCGCTTCATCATCATCGTGACGATGCGCGTCGTCTTGAGCGAAACAGGTAACCCGAAACCGTCGTGGGGAGCCAAATCTGCAGCCAAGAACGCTCGCGCGAGTCTCTTCAATGTTCGCGCCCGCAGCGCCAGAAATGTTCTCAAAGCGCTCCAAATAGACGTCAACTTTGCCGCCCACGACGATATAGTCGGTACATCCACTGTCGACGTAGGTCACACCACTGCCTAAAGTCGGTTGCTCCATTGTTCGTGCGAGTACAGCAGCTGTGGCGTGACTAGTAGTCTTGCGATCGTTTACGGGAAGGGACATTTTTTTTTTTTTTTTTTAACGCGTTACGACCTCGCGGAGTGAAGCTGAAACTCGTGGATTTAAGGCGAGAGCTGCTAAAAAGATTCGACAAAAATGTGATGCTTTGGGAGCGTCGGATCCTTCGCTCGCATTTGAAGAGCCGTCATTATCGCCATGCGCTCCTAAAACTCTGGAGTTTCGACTGTGCTCTAGAAGCTGTGTGGCTCACCTCCTAAACTCCACGTCGCGAGTTCTCATAGCTGGAGATGCTTGCTCATGCATGGATATTGGAGAAATGTCGGGTAGGGTAGTTGGTAGGAAGGACGAGTTGGATTCTCAGGAGTAAAACCAAATCTTGCTTCAGGTGGATGTCCTTGAATGACTGGGAAATGTGCGGTCCGAAGTGCTCAATTGTGCGCTTCGACATGCTCATCACCACCGCGTCCGCCGACAGGCAGAACCGTGTGCGCTGTTTTAGGGATCATGCGTACGTGACCGGGAGCGCGACACCTGGATATCTAGGCAATTGATGTGCTGGACATTGACTCCACGTACGTGTCCTTTCATTTTAGTATCAACCGCAGTGAGATTGGATTGACCTAGATAGTTCTGTAGCCCCTGCACAATCAAACAGCAAACAGCAAAATCTGTTTTCTCTGTAGTTCACAACAGTTTTTACATTCATAGTGCACGAATTTAAAGCTGATTGGGAACATAGCACAACGCATGTTATTATACTACTTGACATCAATACAATTTATTACATAAATGTCTGTCAGAACTTCACCTTCTCTTTCAAAAATAGGATCCCTTCTTGCTGCACAGACATCAATACGTAAGGTGGAACATGGAAAAAAAAAAAATGACTTTTAAGAAGCTACTTAGAGAGAATAGCATACCAAACTGGGCGAGCATTCAGATATTTAAATTATATGATATCCAGGTCATGAAAATGAGCATGTACAATGTGCAACTCACCACAAGGAAAAGCCAGAGGCAGCCCACAAGGCCTGGGAAGAGCGGGTACCACCATTTGAGGCGATGAAACTTGGGGGCGTCGAGGAAAATAAGTGGGAGGCCGGCAGCTGGGTGTGTGCGAGGGAGGATAAGGGGATATAAGGGACGGTGGGGTGTAAGGGATGGGGAGTGAGGATAAGGGGATATAAGGGAGGGTGTGGGGGAGGGACAGGGAGGGTTGGCTGCAAGATACCAAAACGGCGGGTACTGATGCACGAGCGGCGTATCTCTGTCACTGAGGTGTAGATGGGTTATTGAGGTGAATATGGGTTACTGAGCGTGCTTATAGCGAAACCGGGTGGGGGTGGTGGATGGAGTTGGTGCAGTGCACGAACGTGATAGAGGCACAATGCAGCAACTGCTGTAGCTTAAGCAAGCCAATATAACGAGTACAAAAGCATGCTTATGACGAGTACAGAGGCGTGCTTTCAACGCACCAGGGGGGTGGACGGAGTTGGTGCATTGCATGACCGCAATAGAAGCAGCAACAGCTGTGGCCTTAGCGAGCCAACCCAACACATACCAAACACACCATAACGAGTAATCAAGCAATCTTATAAGAAGTACTGAGGCATGCTTATAACGAGCACTGATGCGTGCTTATAACGCACCAGGGGGGTGGACGGAGTTGGTGCATTGCATGAACGCGATAGAAGCAGCAACTGCTGTGGCCTTAGCGAGCCATGACGGCCCCAGCAGGCAGAAGAGCGCCACTCCTATGAGGGCTGTTCCCACGTGGGCTATCAAGATGGTCTTGCGCTGTGGTTTTGGTTGGGGAGAGAGGGGAGCAAGAAAGTAGGGAGGGAGGAGAGTAGAGGGCGAGGGAGTGAAGGAGAAGGGCGAAGGAAAGCAACAGCCGCCTTGGCGAGCCATGACGGCCCCAGCAGGCAGAAGAGCGCCACTCCTATGAGTGCCGTTCCTACATGGGCAACGAGGATGGTCTTGCACTGTTAAGGGTGGGGGAGGGGGACGCACTAAGAAAGGCGTGGGTTGGAAAGGAATTGAGGAGAAGGGTGACGGACTCAGCAGGCAGAAGAGGGCCACTCGTATGAGCGCCGTTCCCACAAGGCAGCTGCTTGTGGTGGCAGGGCGAAGAGGAGACAGCAGACATAGTGAAAACACCCGAAGAAAGTCACCTGAAGGCTGAGTATTCACCTGGGAGACGGCTGCTTGCGGCAGGGCGAAGAGGAGACAGCAGACATCGTGAAAACACCCGAAGAAAGTCACCTGAAGGCTGAAGGCTGAGTATTCACCTGGGAGACGGCTGCTTGCGGCAGGGCGAAGAGGAGGCAGCAGACGGCACCAAAGGATCCCAGGGAGACTGTGAGGCCGTGTGACTGTAACAGATGGTCCGCTAACGCGAATCCTGCAAAGGACACGAATGCGCCTGACAGCAGGAGACAGAGGGAAGGAAACAGCGGCGAAGGAACCGAGGGAGACTGTGAGGCCGTGTGACTGTAACAGGTGGTCTGCTAACGCGAACCCCACGAAAGACACCAATGCGCCGAATGGTGAGTAGGAACGAGGAGGCAGGAAGGGGGAAGGAAGGAGGAAGAAGGGGGGTAAGAAAGGGGGAGAAGGAATAAGAGGGGGATTCGATGAGATGTAATGAAATTAGATGAAAAGGGAAGCAAGGGGGAAGACGAGGAGGAAAAGAAACGCAGCAACAGGGAAGACGGAGGCTCTTGGAGCGTCCTAAGAATCGCGAAGGCGAGCCTCGCCACGGAAACGAAGGGGTCCAGAGGTATGAGACGGGCGAGGGAGGAGTGGGGTGCGGTGCAGTGAGATGGGAAGGAATTTCGGAAGAGAGAAGGAAGAAGCAGGGAGGGACGGGGGATGGGATGGGCCGGGATGGGTGGGAAAGGGGTGGGATGGGAGGGGGCGTAATGGAATGGAGGTGGCACGGAGTGGTGGACTAACCACCCAACCCAACGCAACCCAACCCAACCCCAACCCAACCCATCCCTCCCCAAACCCGCCCCAACCCACCGCAACCCAACCCACCCCACCCCATTCCCAATCCCCAATCCCGGTGGACAGACACCAGCGCAGCCCCACTCACCGACGGCGGGCCACACAAGGTCGCTGATTGGCTGCTTCTTCTCCGCTTCTGGCGGCGCCGGTTGCGGAATGGCCGCGGCGAACTGGCGGAGCGCGCGCACGCAGGCAGAGGGCAGGAGGGCGGCGATGCGGAAAGGAGTGGGGCGGGTGGGTGGGAAAGAGGGGGGGAGGGGGGAATGGTGGGGAAAAGAAGCCGCGCGACGGAGGGGGAGAAGTGGGGAGGGGGGAAACGGGAGAGCGGGGAAGAGATTGTAGGAAGATGAGGAGAGGGCGAGGGAGGGGAACGTAAAGTTAGGGAGATGCGAAGAAGTGAGAATGCTTATCAAGAACCATAAGAAACGGAAACCTCACCAGCAAGGGGCGCGTGGACAGGGTAAACTCCAGAAATAGTACCAATTCATGGGAGTATACGAGTCAACTGCCCCTGGATAGGCGACGCAGCAGACAGAAACGCACCTCGGAAAAATCGGCCGCTCCCGCAGCGCCAGCGCCGGCGGCGGCGGCGGCGGCGGCGGTGGGACCTTGAGCCCGCACGCGTACCGCGCCGCGCTTAGCGAACGAATGTCTGGTGTCGCTCAAAGCGATTCGGCGGGAAGACTCGACGTGAATATTGCGAGAGCTGCGAGCTTGTGCCGAGAGGCAATCTTGTGTCGAAGAATAAGTATGCCTTTTAGAAACCGAAGCGCGGGCAGGGACAACGTTATGACATTCTTGAAGAGAAATTAAGGAGCGAGGTGGTTGTAATGATGCGGGAGCTGGAGCTACTGGTGCTGTCATAGTTCTTGTCGCAGGAGCCAATTGCAACGGTCGGAGATGAACGCCGCATGCCATGATGGCTACGAGTCTCGACGGAATAAACTTCTTGTTCAACGCGAGCGGTTCGGTTATGTTTAGTTGAAGGCTTTAGAATCGGTTCGTATCGGCGGCACGAGACTGCAAGGAGAGGAAGGAAGAGACGGATGCTACCGAAAAAACCGACGGACGGGAAAACGCAGACAGATACAGTATTGTCGCAATGCAAACGTTTGCGAATTCCGCTGACACGCTTAGCAAATGACTGAATTGTCTATCAAAGTGTTGGTCTTATTACAAAAGTTGTTTCCAGGGCCGGGTGCACAGCAGGGGAAGCTCTCTCCCTAGTGCTACGTTCTGCGTTAGTCGTCTATTTGTAAGCTCTGCACTGCATAGCAGAGTCAGGTAGCGACTCTTAGCTCCTTCAACGGATGGTTCAACTGTTGAGAGAGTGTCTCTTGGAAGTGCCGAACAGCAGCTGTGCTGGACAGAGAGCGGCTGGTGGGATGAAGAATCAAGGCGTGAATCTGACCTCAGATTGGGGGTGGTGGTGGGTGGTCGGGACTCGGGGGACGACATGGGGAGCAACCGCGAGTCCCTCCATGCAAATTGCAGGCGGGCCGATTTGCTGCCACCAAGAACTGCGACTTCTACCGACTTCCAAACCTGAGGTTCGGGGTAGCTTTGCCCCTCGGTTGTTCCGTGGCTGAGTTGACTGGTTGGGGAGGTCTTGGGCTTTCTGAGCCACAATTTTTTGGGCTTGGTTGCCCTTTGCATACGCGGTGCGGATGGGGAAACAGCAGTCACCAATCAGCTGCTGCTGTTTCACGCTTGTGGCGGCTGCTGGGTGGAGGGAAAGGTTCTGGGTACGACATGCGCGCTCATTGGTTTGAGCTCTACGAACAGCAGCGCCCAATCGAAACCATTCATGCAGTTGGCAAATTGTTATTGAAATATTCACGAAACTATGCGCATTATTCGGCAAAAGGCTCTATGTTACGTTGGCAGCCCACGTGATTGTGTAGCATACAGTTTTTCAAGAATCAATGCTACAATGCTTTCTGGTGATCTTCATACCTGCCATGGTGTCATAATTGCATACAAGCAACAAAGAAAATAAAACTTCAATTAGGTAGCGAAATCATTGCAAACATTTCCTTAAATGGCTCCTGAGGCAAACATAATTGTACATCTCACCACAAGGTGACTCGGTAATAGTTAGGTGCTCATGCTTGGCATGCTGCAAAGGAAAGAAAGAAGGGGGTTTAAAGCAACAACAGAACGTACCATTCTTGGCTTCAACTTTAGTTTGGCGATGCAAACTCTTCCAAACACATGAATCTATCGTTTGCAAACCCATATCCTCCTTGTGCCACAGAGCTAGCAGTTGCTCGTATAGGGATCAGAAGAAGGGGGCCACGGGGATGCCCAAGCACCCCTTCGAAAAAAAAAAAAAAAAAAAAAAAAAAAAAAAACAAGAACAACACGTAGGAGAGAACACTCACGTTCCTCTGCCGTGGTTGATTCTATGCCACCGCCTCGCACTCGCATTAAAGCCCGCCACTGTTGCTGCTGCCACCAGCCGCATTGGCCCCGCTAGAAGCAGCTCCAGTAAGAGCTTGTTGAGTGACACACAGGGCGACATGCCTAAAACGAGGATAGGAGGAGGAAAGCGGGGGGGGGGGGTGGGGTGGTTGGCAGAACAGGGAGGGAGGTGAGGAGGAAGTGGAGGTAACCTATATTTTGCTGAGTGAAGCACAGGGAATCATGCCTATAAGGAGGATGGAGAGGAAGGGCTGGGAAAGGTACGGGCGGAGGGTACCGAGGGGGCAGGAGAACAGAAAGATTCCACAAGAGCCGCAGACAGATCACTCACCTGCAGTGGCGATGCTGAGCATCCAGCCGTCGAATCCGACAGGAGCGAGGAAATCTCCGCGTTCGACGGCTGAGATCGCAGCTCTCGCGACCGCCATGGGAGGAAAGGGCTTGTTGCCTTCTGTGATGGCTTTGGTGACTGCCGGTTTGGTTACGTTCTCTGGAGGGGGTTAGGGTTGGGAAGGTGAGGTGGGTGGGAAGTGGGGAGTAAGATGGGAATAGAAAGGGGGACCACGGGGGGTTGCAGCTCTCATCACGGTGGTGGCTGTCAAGGGAGGGAAGGGCTTGTTGCTGCCCGCCGCTGTGATGTGATGGAATTAATGTTTGACGCTGTTGAAGATAAGCCTGAGAAAGTAATCAGGGTACCCTCTGGCCTTTAGCCTCTTAAAGAAGAGTGCAAGAGAGGATTCATCACCAGTGAGCTGAAACCCCACTGTCCGCGGAACTCATCATTCAAGACCTTTTGGGAGAGAAAAGTCCTCTTCTTTAATAGGCTAAAGGCCAGAAGGTACCCTGATTACTTTCTCAGGCCTATCTTCAACAGCATCAAACATCAAGACAGGCCGATTCTGCTTCGCAGCTGCCAACAACACAAAGTGAGGGAAGTCCTCCAGTCCCTGAAGGTAAGAAGATGTCCAAGAACTTTGGACTTGGGGCTGGGGGGTTTTTGAGAATTCTCAAAAAACATACGCTGCATCATATCTTCCTCCCACAGTTTTTAGTGTGTTGGCGTTTGCCAAAGAGGTTACGCAACCGCTTGGTGAAAGCGAGATTTCAAGAACGGGGATACACCACCCCGTGAGTTGATGGGATTGAATTCATCCCACCAACCTGCACGTTGAATTGCATTGCAAATGCATTGTACAGCCAGCTAGCGAGCCGCAAGACGAGCCACACTGGACTTTTGTTTCTTGGTTGAGTGCTGGGCACGGAAGATGGGAGTAGATAAGGAGTAGTCTTTTCTTGTAAATCTGAGAGCGCTGACGAAGGCCATCGGCCGAAACGCGCGCACGCTCGGTCTTGGAATGACATTTTTCCTTGCTTATTCAATCCCTACTAGCCTAAGCTCAGCCTAGAGGAGATTAGAACGAGCTAGAGCTGTGGATCAGGGTCGAAACTATTTTTCTATGCGTCAAGGGAGGGAAGGGCTTGTTGCTGCCCGCCCGCTGTGATGTGATGGAGCTGGCGCCCTGCCTCTCACCTTGCTGCAGCTGAGGCGTGTCCGTGTCAGGAGGGAACAGCAGCATCACAACGCATGTGCCCACGTGCACCAACTCCATATGTAGTGCCTCTGCCAGCGCCTCTACCAGACCCCTCACCTCATGACCCTCTCAAGGAAAGAGTACCTTGCTGCAGCTGAGGCGTGTCGGTGTCGGGAGGAAACAGCATCACAATGCGTGTGCCCACATGCACCAGCTCCATCTGAAGTGCCTCTGCCACTGCCTCTGCCAGTGCCCCTAGTCCACCAGTGACAGACCCTCACTCACCTTGTTGCAACTGAGGCGTGTCAGTGTCAGGAGGGAACAGCATCGCCACCCACGTCCCCACACGCACCAGCTCCGCTTGCAGTGCCTCTGCCAGTGCATTCATGTCGCTCTGAAGGCAAGGGTACCTTGCTCTTGCCACTCACCTTGCTGCAGCTGGGGCGTGTCGGTGTCAGGAGGGAACAGCATCACCACCCTCGTCCCCACGTGCTCCAGCTCCATTTGTAGTGCCTCTGCCAGCCCTCTTAAAGCGAATTTCGCGGCCGAGTAGGCTGTGTAGCCATAGATACCCACCTGGCAAGGGGAACGGGAATAGGGGAACGGGGCAGGTAAACAAGGGACTTGTAAGTAACCTCACAGCTCGAGATTTGGCGGCTGATTAGGCTGTGTAGCCGTATATACCCACCTGAAGGGGGGAGAGGAGGAACACGGGAACGGGGCAGGAGAACAAGGGACTTGTAAGTAACCTCACATCTCGAGATTTGGCGGCTGATTAGGCTGTGTAGCCATAGATACCCACCTGGAAAGGGGGGAGAGGAGGAACAAGGGAGTGGGGCAGGAAAACAGGGGAATTCTGAGCAGCCTTAGCACTGTAACAGGAGATGGCAAGCACTTCTCCCCGCCTACTGAGGTGACATTTGAGTCGACTCAAAAGTCACCTCAGTATGATGTCACACGATGTTTTGAGCCGACTCAAGAGTAACTTCTGAGTAGCCTCAGCATTGAAACAGGAGATGGCAAGCACTTCTCCGCGTCTACTTGAAAATCACTTGTGAGAATTCTCAAAAGTGCACTTCTCCCTGACTACTTGAAAAATAAAATTTGGGAATTCTCAAAAGTGCAATTCTCCCCGCCTACTCATCTGCCTCGTCCCCTCTCCCCCCCTCCGCTCCCTCTTTCCTCTCTCACCTGCTCTGCTTGAAACGACACCAGCATTATCCTTCCCTCTCTGCCTGCTCTCTCCACGGCTGGCAGGGCTGCCCGGATCACATAGCCTCTCCACTTCTGCTGCTCCCCACCCCTCACACTACTCCTCCCATTACTCCCCCTCTCACCTGCCCTGCCTGAGACGACACCAGCATTATCCGCCCGTCCTTGCCGGCCCGTTTCACGGCTGGCAGCGCTGCTCGGATGACATACACTGACGCCCAGTAGTTGACATTCATGAGCTGATGTGATAAGGGGGAGGAAGAGTGGGGGAAAGTGGGGGAGGTGGGTGCGTTGAGGGAGGGGTGGGGAAGAGGCAAGGCTGCTCGGATGACATACACTGACGCCCAGTAGTTGACATTCATGAGCTGATGGGGGGGGGGAAGGGAGAGGAAGAGTGGGGCCACTGAGAGGCAGCACCAAGGGGAAGCAGGGCTGCTCGGATGACATACACTGACGCCCAGTAGTTGACATTCATGAGCTGATGTGATAAGGGGGAGGAAGAGTGGGGGAAAGTGGGGGAGGTGGGTGCGTTGAGGGAGGGGTGGGGAAGAGGCAAGGCTGCTCGGATGACATACACAGACGCCCAGTAGTTTGACGCTCATGAGCTGATGGGGTGAGGGGGGAGAAGGTGGGGTGTTGTGCATTGAAGAGGGAGGGTATTATGAGACAGAACACAAGGTGAAGGGGGGTGCACTGGGAGGGAAGCAGAGAAGAACACACGAACAGTGCCAATGGGGAGATGGGCTACTGACGCAAATTGATGCGGAAATCGAATCACATAGACTGACGCCCATTAGTTCACGTTCCTCACGCGCGCACCTGCTGCTGATTTTCCACGGTATTGAACTCGAATTGGTGTGGGGTGCTCTGCCCCTGGCAGCAGACGATCAATCACCACACATGCACCGCTGCTTCCTTCACACTCACACCTGATGCTGCTGCTGGTTCTCCCTACAAGCTCACCTGCTGCTTCCGCTGCTCACACACACACGCACCTGCTGCTGATTTTCCACGGTATCAAACTCGAATTGATGTGGGGTGCTCTGCCCCTGGCAGCAGATCACCACATCCAGCCGTCCAAACGCGGCCACCACTTGATCAATGGCTCTCCTTGCATCGTCCGGATTCGCCGCATCGGCCGCCACGGACAGGAGGAAATCAGATGAGGGGGTGTCGGGTAGAAGCAAAGCCTCTAGCTGAGAGAGATGAAGCATGAATGGGAGAGAAAATGAGGACGAAGAGAAGTTATAAAATTACTCAAAAGTCGCCGCATCGGCCGCCACGGACAGGAGGAAATCGGAGGAGGGTGTGTTGGGGGTGGAAGCAAGGCTTCCAGCTGGTGGGTTTTGGGAGCCACACCAAAGGAGGGAAATCACATGGACCCCACCCCGCTGGGGTTTTCCTCCAGAGGAAATCGGAGGAGGGTGTGTCAGGTGGAAGCAAGGCTTCCAGCTGGGAGGGAAGCAGCATGAACGGGAGAGGGAAAGGGGGAAATGGAGAAATCAAGAGAGGAGAGGAGGACGGAACGGTATAGACGAAAGTTCTGGGTGAGTTTTGAGTCGACTCAAGAGAGAGGAGAGGAGGATGGAAAGGTATAGACGAAGGTAGCTGACGCCAGCTACTTCCATCCTCCTCTCCTCTCTGACGAAGGTAGCTGACGCCAGCTACTTCCATCCTCCTCTCCTCTCTGACGAAGGTAGCTGACGCCAGCTTCTTCCATCCTCCTCTCCTCTCTGACGAAGGTAGCTGACGCCAGCTTCTTCCATCCTCCTCTCCTCTCTGACGAAGGTAGCTGACGCCAGCTTCTTCCATCCTCCTCTCCTCTCTGACGAAGGTAGCTGACGCCAGCTTCTTCCATCCTCCTCTCCTCTCTGACGAAGGTAGCTGACGAAAGTAGTTCTGGGTGAGGGAGCGCCAGCTGGAAGGAAGGCGACAAGATGGTAGGGATAGGGAGGAGGAGAGTAGGTGAGTGAGAAAAGGGAGAGGACGGACTAGGAAAATGAGCCCCCGTTATGATGAAAAAGAGAAGGGCTTAAAGAGTGGAGAAAGAGGGAGCGTCAGGTGGAAGCAAGGCGTCAAGCTTCCTCAAGGCATCAAGCTGGCAGGGATCGGAAGGAGGAGAGTGGGTGAGTGAGAAAGCACACCTACACACACACCCTGGCTAAAGCACACACAACAATCGCCAATCTCACCCCCTCCTGCTGCATTGCCATCAATCCCCTATGCACACACTTTCCTGATGAAAGCACCCACCTGCTTGTGAGCAGAGGCCCTGACTGAAAGCACCATCCCATTTTTTAGTCGACTCAAAAATAGGCTGCACTGCCATCAATCCCCTATGCACACACCCTCCTGATGAAAGCACCCACCTGCTTGTGTGCTGAGGCCAGCCGGTCCTTGTTACGAGCAGCGATCGCCACCCTCGCCCCCTGCTGCACCGCCATCTCTCCTATGCACAGCCCTATGCCGCTCGAACCACCCACTATCAGCACAGCCTTGCCCTGTGGGGTGTGTGGGGTGTGTGGGGTGTGTGGCGCATGGTGGGTGTGTGGGGTGTGTGAGGGAGAAAATGGAAAGCCCTTGCTCCACTGCCAATTTCCCCATGCACAGTTCTATGCAGCTCGAACCACCCAGTATCAGCTTGGCTTTGGCCTGTGGGTGGGGTGTGTGGGAAGGAACGCGGACGGAGCAGTAGTGAAGGAGAAAAGGGGAACCTTTTGCACCACTACCACTTCCCGTATGCACTTTCGAGGATTCTCAAAAGCTGCTGACTGCCACTGCTCCTATGACAACCCTATGCCGTTAAAGCCATATCGCGGAAAAGAAATGGGCCGAATTTTCGAGAAATGTGACAAAAAGGTGACGCATTGTACGTGATACTAAGTCGACGTTTCTCACTCTCACCTTTAGCGAGATTCGCTTTGGCCGGCAAGCCCACGCGAGGATCTCAAACGAAATTACTATAACGGGGATCGTAACCAGTACCCACGCCCACCATTCCGCCATTTTGAATCTCGACTCTCGTCCTGATTCGCGCGTAGATAACGGGATACACCGAAATGTAACTTATTGGTGGTAACCAACCACGGATCGAGACGGTAAAATGCTAGATCCGTTTGCTCAACGGTTATAAAATAATGTGACAGTGGCGAGAAACCACACTTCGTATAACTACGCAGAAAAATTAGTAGCGATAAGCCAAGTGGATTCTAGGTAGTTATTGAATTCGAGAACCAGTTTAGGAGATTATGCATTCGACGACGCGTCGCGACCCGCCCTGAAAGTTCTCGCAGTGCGAACTGATACGGACTGAACGGCCGCGATGCAGCCGCACCGTTGAGGACTGCTTATAACCGTAGATTAGAGATTGACTTGGTGCTTAGGGTGATTGATCCGTTCAAAAGCGAAACTTTTGATTGGACAGTGTTGCCCCTTAACACACCGCTATGACGACATAAATACACTCTGAAAGTCTGCACATCCAATTTCTCATGATATTTAATGATTTTAGTAGCTACCCTACATTTGATCCATGAGAGCAACTCATTGTGCAAACATGGGTACCGTAACACCAGCGTGAAATAGCAAGCCACACATTAATTTCTCAATTACAAACCCGCACAGCGATAGGTGAAATTATATAACCTGCTGGAGCGTCAACGCAAAGAATAACCCTTTCCAGAAAAGGCTTGGAAGGATGGCTTTTGTGGCTCTTCCTTCTGAGGCTCCTCCTTTTTCTTTGGGGCCTGCACGCAGAGAAGACATAATTCGCATACATTTATATGACGGGAAGATGATAAGAATGTATATATCACACGCAATCATGTGCGCGCATTCACCAAAAAAATCTTATTAAGTGCCACAACACGTACCGCATCATAAGACATCACCTTACACCTTGCCACACCGTACTCAACCACGTACCTTGGGACCCGCTCATGGTGCTGCATCTCTCGACCCAAATACAAGCCACCCCTCCTTTCTCCCCCCGCTCGCTGCACCGGCAGCACCAGCACCGGCGCCCCCACCACCACCAGCACCATTACCACCAGCAAGCACACACAAACACATCAGCCTACACCGTACCGTACCGCACTGAACCACATACCTTGGGACCCGCTCGTGGTGCTCCGTCTCCCGATCCAAACACCAGCCGACCCTCCTTCCTCCCCCCACTCGCCACACCAGCACCACCAGCAGCACCACCCGAACTACTACTCCCAGCGCCACCACCACTGCTACGAGCCCCACCGGCCCCGCCTGCCCCAGATACGCCCTCCCTTGATGCTGCTGACGTGGCGGCTGCTGATGTGGCAGGCGAGGAGGGGGAGGCTGCTGGGCGGCCGTCCAATCGCCTGCCGGTGCCGACGAATGGCGTGAAGGCGGGCTCCTCAGGTGGGGGGGCTGCTTCTGATTGGTTGAGAAGAGAGAAACAAGCAGGGGAGTGTGGGAGAGGGCATACGTAAGGGAGCGGCGGAGGGTGTGGCGGGCCGGGGGGTACGGGGAACGGCATGAAGGTGGGCTCCTTAAGTGGAAGTGCTCCGTCTGATTGGTTGAGATGAGAGAAAAGCATGGGCGGGGTGTGGGAAAGTGGGGGAAAGGGGGGTCCAAGTAAGGAGGGGAACAAGTGGTGTGAAGGTGGGCTGCTTCGCATCTGTTTGGTGTGAGAACCTACTTTTGAGGCGCCTCGAGAATTGGATCCAGCACCAGCACTAACAGCTACTGCTCCTTCACCTGCCGATGTTGGGAATCGCTGGGGCTCGACATAATCCAGGGGCGGAGCAAAGTCCACCTCACAATCCCATGAGCCAAGTCTTGATGATGGAGACGGCTGCAGCTGGGCGTGCATCCCCATGCCCATGGCCCGCTCTCTCCCTCTCGCACCTTCCACATACCTGCTTTTCCGTCCTTCCCAGCGCCCTTCTTCCCTCCAGCTTCAGAGGCACCACCAGCAGCACTGGCAGAAGCTGCTGCTGCGGCTGCTGCTGGGCGTGCATCCACATACCCACTCTTTCTCCTTCCACACACCTGCTTTTCCGCCCTTCCCAGCGCTCTTCTTCCCTCCAGCTTCAGAGCCGCTGGCACTGGCACCGACAGAAGCTGCTGCTAATTCCACACACACCTGCTCATGCCTGCCCTCTCTGACTCTCTGTTTCATTCCTCCCACATACCTGCTTTTCCGTCCTTCCCAGCGCCCTTCTTCCCTCCAGCTTCAGAGCCGCCGGCAGCAGCAGCAGCAGCACCAGCAGCAGGTGCTTTAACGGGTGTAGGCACTCGTTCCGGCTCCACATAATCGAGTGGCGGCGCAAAATCGACTTCACAATCCGTCTCGATAATGGAGATGGCTGCAGCTGGGCGCGCATCCACAACATCAATGAAGTAGCGCTTATTGTTGTATGCCACCATGATGCTCTCCCCCTTCGTCAAGCAGGAGAAGCTTCGCAGAGTCATCTCGAGCCTACAAAGGAGATAAAGGGGAGGGAGGGGGCAGGGTGGGAGAATATGGAGGTTTGAGATGCCTGCTATTGGGCGCGCATCCACGATATGAATGAAGCCAAAACTTGAATACAGAGTTAGATTTTCTGGAGGTGATGGTAGGCACTTGGGTATTTTCACGAGTACCGCACGGCTGGGATGGTCACAGAGTTCGCATTTGTGCTGTTTGGACGTCGATTTCCAATAGCTCATGTGTTTATTGCGCTGGTGTAGTACGAAGCAGCGGTTTTTATGGATAAAAATGAGGACAATCAATTGTGGGTTCGAATTCTCTCAACCGTGATTGAGGGTGACCTGAGCAGGATGCGTGCTGAAAACATGACGAGTCCGGTCGAAAGCGGCGTGTGGGGGGCAAAAGAATGAGGAGGTGTACTAGGAGGGGTAGGAATAACACGAGTCCCTTGCCCTTCCTAAAACCCCTCTCACTCTCGTGCCCCCCACACGCCTTCTTTTGACCGAACTCGTCATGTTTTCAGCACGCATCTTTCTCATGTCACCTTTACTCACGGGTGACAGAATTCGAACCATCTTTTACCACAAAAGATTGTTATCATTTTTATCCATAAAAACCGCTGCTTCAAATTGCACCGGCGTAATAAACACACGAGTTATTGGAAATCAACGTCGAAACATCACATATGTGAACTCTGTGACCATCCCAGCCGTGCGGTAGTCCTGGAAAATATCCAAGTGTCTACCATCACCGCTAGAAAATCTAACCCAGCATCCAAATTTGTGTTATCTCAAGCCTACACAAGGGATACACGGGTCGCAGGTAGCTGCATGTAGCTTCACGTATGAGCTAGCTATTAGGGAGAGTGGTGTTATCATTCCCCCCCAATAAGCACATCACAAACCATTACAGCCACACCCCCAGTACAGAAACGCCACTCACACAACTTTGGGGTTGGAGATGTCTGGAAAGCCCTTGGTGTGTGGCTGCAGTTTCACGTAGGTGCCCTTGGGGAGGGTGGTTACTGCTCTCCCCCCCCCCAATAAGCACATCAATCGCTCACTACAATCAAATCCCCCATCTTTCCCCAACTTATACTCACACAGCTTTGGGGTTGGAGATGTCTAGGAAGTCCTTGGTGTGTGGCTGCAGCTTCACGTAGGTTCCTTTGGGGAGGGTGGGGTGGGTTGTTTTGCCCAATGCCCATCCAACAAGCACATCCTTTACAATCACACTCACACAGGCCACCCGCAACCACTACTCACACAGCCTTGGGGTTGGAGATGACTGGAAATCCTTGGTGTGTGGTTGCAGCTTCACGTGGGGTGAGGCGCCTCTGACACCCTCCAATAAGCACATCACTCACTACAGGCACACCTTCCAAAGAAACACTCACACAGCCTTGGGGTTGGAGATGTCTAGAAAGTCCTTGGTGTGTGGCTGCATGCAGCTTCACGTAGGTGCATTTGGGGAGGGTAAGGTGGCGTTACTGCCCCCCCCCCCAAAAAAAAAGCACATCAATCACTCACTACAGTCACATCCCCCACAGGAACACTCACACCTTTCCCAACTGATACTCACACAGCCTTGGGATTAGAGATGTCTAGGAAGTTCTTGGTGTGTGGCTGCAGCTTCACGTAGGTTCCTTTAGGGAGGGAGGAGTGGAGGTACTTTCCCCCCAAGAAGCACATCCCTTACAATCACAGATACACTCACACAACCGTCCCTTCCCCCAACCACTACTCACACGGCCTTGGGGTTGGAGATATCTAGAAAGTCCTTGGTGTGTGGCTGCAGCTTCACATAGGTTCCTTTAGGGAGGGTGGGGTGGGTTGTTCCTGCCCATCCAACAAGCACATCCTTTACAGTCACACTCACACTCACACAGACTACTCGCAACCACTACTCACACAGCCTTGGGGTTGGAGATATCTAGAAAGTCCTTGGTGTGTGGCTGCAGCTTCACGTAGGTTCCTTTAGGGAGGGTGGGGTGGGTTGTTCCTGCCCATCCAACAAGCACATCCTTTACAGTCACACTCACACTCACACAGACTACTCGCAACCACTACTCACACAGCCTTGGGGTTGGAGATATCTAGGAAGTCCTTGGTGTGTGGCTGCAGCTTCACGTAGGTTCCTTTGGGGAGGGTGGGGTGGGTTGTTTTGCCCAATGCCCATCCAACAAGCACATCCTTTACAATCACACTCACACAGGCCACCCGCAACCACTACTCACACAGCCTTGGGGTTGGAGATGACTGGAAATCCTTGGTGTGTGGCTGCAGCTTCACGTGGGGTGAGGCGCCTCTGACACCCTCCAATAAGCACATCACTCACTACAGGCACACCTTCCAAAGGAACACTCACACAGCCTTGGGGTTGGAGATGTCTAGAAAGTCCTTGGTGTGTGGCTGCAGCTTCACGTAGGTTCCTTTAGGGAGGGTGGCGTTTCTGAATCGCACAATGTCCCCTTCTTGCAGCAGCAGATTCTGCATCATCTGATAAAGGCCAAGGGCGGGGGAGGGGAGAGGAAGGACGCAGGGTAGTCAGCGAGGGGAGTAGGAGGGGGGTTATCAGCGAGTGACTTGGTGTGTGGCTGTAGCTTCATGTAGGTGCCCTTGGGAGGGTGGCGTTTCTGAACTGCACTATGTCCCCCTCCCTCCTGCAGAAGCAGGTCCTGCATCTTCTGGAAGAGTGCAAGGCAGAAGGGAAGGAAAAAAAGGGTATCAGCAGGTGAGTTGTCAGCTCAGGAGCGCACTATGTCCCCGTCCTGCAGAAGCAGCTCCTGCATCTTCTGGAAGAGTGCGAGGGAAGGGGGTGGAAAGAAGGAATCAGCAAGAGCTTCACGTAAGTGTCCTTAAAGAGGGTGGTGTCTCTGAACCGCACTATATCCCCCTCCTGCAGCAGCAGGGTGACTTTTGAGTCGACTCAAAAGTCACCCTGAACCGCACTATATCCCCCTCCCGCAGCAACAGACTCTGCATCATCTGGAGAGTTAAGGTGCAGGGTAGCAACGGAGCAAGAGGGAGGGTATCAGCAGGTGACTTGGGAGTCGACTCAAAATCGCACAATATTTCCTTTGGGTATGCCGCACTATGTCCCCTTCCTGTAGCAACAGATTCTGCGTCATCTGGGTAGGAAGTATGAAGAGGAGGGAGGAGAGTACGGGGTATCAGCAAATAACATGTGACTTTGACTCAGAACCGCACTATGTCCCCCTCCTGCAGCAGCAGATTCTGCATCATCTGGGTAGGAAGTATGAAGAGGAGGGAGGAGAGTGAGTACGGGGTATAAGCAAATAACTTGTGACTTTGACTCAGAACCGCACAATGTCCCCCTCCTGCAGCAGCAGATTCTGCATCATCTGGAAAGGATACAGGACCTGTGTAGCAGGCACAGAAACGTACCCGATACAGGCACGCCTTACCCAATACGGCGAGCTTTACCCATAGCCCTTACCCAACATGGCAAGCCTTACCCAATATGGCAAGCCTTACCCAACATGGCAAGCCTTACCCAATCTGGAAGCCTTACCCAACATGGCAAGCCTTACCCAACATGGCAAGCCTTACCCAATATGGAAGCCTTACCGAACATGGCAAGCCTTACCCAACATGGCAAGCCTTACCCAATATGGCAAGCCTTACCCAATACGGCATTGTACACATATCCCTCTTCTGCAATGAACTCCAACACGCCGCAGTGTTGGCAAACCTATCACAAGTTGAGTTACTATGAATAGCAGTCCTTACCCAATACGGCAAGCCTTACCCAATACGCCAAGCCTTACCCAGTACGGCATGTACACATATCCCTCTTCTGCAATGAACTCCAACACACCACAGAGTTGCTTGACCTAATACAGGATGACTTACTATGAATAGCATGCCTTACCCAATACGGCATGTACACATATCCCTCTTCTGCGATAAACTCCAACACGCCGCAGTGTGACGTGCGGTTGGCCGCTGCGTTGTGCACCTCAAAGAGCATGGGGTAGTCTATGTGGAGTGATGCTGGCCGGATGGGGAGGGTGGGAGTGAATGGAGAGTGGTACAGATGGGTTGTGACAGGGGATGAGAGTGCGACGTGCGATTGGCCGCTGCGTTGTGCACCTCAAAGAGCATGGGGCAGTCTATGTGCAGGGAGGCTGGAGTATGGGGGGGGATGGGGAGCGGTACAGATGGGTTGTGACAGACAGGGGATGAGCATGTGACGTGTGACTGGCCGCTGCGTTGTGCACCTCAAATAGCATGGGGTAGAGCGGTACAGATGGGTTGTGATGGAGGATGAGTGTGTGCCGTGCGATTGGCCGCTGCGTTGTGCACCTCGAAGAGCATTGGGTAATCGATGTGGAGTGAGGCTGGGGGGATGGGGGGGATGGAGAGCGGTACAGATGGGTTGTGATGGAGGATGAGAGTGCGACGTGCGATTGGCCGCTGCGTTGTGCACCTCAAAGAGCATGGGGTAATCTATTTGGAGTGATGCTGGAGTAAGGGGGGGGGGATGGAGAGCGGTACAGATGGGTTGTGATGGAACATGAGTGTGTGTTGTGCGATTGGCCGCTGCGTTGTGCACCTCGAACGGCATGGGGTAGTCTATGTGCAGGGAGGCTGGGGGGGTGCGGGGAATTGGGGAGGAGTGGAGAGCGGTACAGATAAGTTGCGATTGGCTGTTGTGTTGTGCACCTCGAACAGCACGGGATAGTCTATGTGGAGGGAGGCTGGAGTATGGGGAGGGATGGAGAGTGGTACAGATGGGTTGTGACGGAGGATGCGCGTGTGTTGTTCCGTTGGCCGCTGCATTGTGCACCTCGAACAGCATGGGGTAGTCTACGTGCAGGGAGGATGGGGGGATGGGGAGATGGGAAGAAGGGGTGGGGAGGGGTGGAGACCAGTACAGATGGGTTACAGGAGTGTGTTCCATGCAATTAGCCGATGCGCTGTGCACCTCAAACAGCATGGGGTAGTCTATGTGCAGTGCAGTGAGGCTGGTGAGGATGGGGGGGGGGGGATGGTGGGGAGTGGAGAGCGGTACAGATGGGTATAAGCGTATGACGTGCGGTTGGTCGCTGCCTTGTGAACCTAAAACAGCATGGGTTAGTCTATGTGGAGGGAAGGAAATTGGGGGGATGGGAGACAAAGGGGTGAGGAATGGTGCCAATGGGTTAAATTTCTCTTCAGATGAAGGGGGTGAGGAAGGGCGATGTTTAGACGACTCAAAGGTCACCCTTTCGAAAAGCATGGACGAGGGGCAGGGGATGAGGAAGAAGGGATGGTGAAAGTCGAGTTTTGATTCGACTCAAAACTCGACTCATTACACGAGGGGCAGGGGATGAGGAAGAAGGGATGGCGGAACGGTGCAGATTGGGTGCAAAATCCGAGCATGCTTACGACGGGTATGGTCGGCTTACAGAGCCTGTTTGAAGACAAGGCAGGCCTATAGCCGGTACGGTGACTTACCGAGCCTGTTTGAAGACAAGGCAGGCCTATAGCCGGTACGGTGACTTACCGAGCCTGTCAAGAGCAGAGGGGGGCATGATGACTGATGGGAGAACCACAGGTGTAGGGAGGGATGGATGGCGCCGATTTGAAGTGGGGAAGCAGGGGGCGAGAGGGGGAGAAGGAAGGGAAGAGAGCAGGGAGAGGAAGGGGGATGTTTGGCTTATCCCTTAAGCCAAACAGAGTAAGCAGGGTACTTGAAGATGCATGCAGAAGAAGAGTGAAGCGGCTTATCACTTATGCGGTGACATGGAATTATGGAAGACGACTCATAGCAGTAAGGGGAGAGGGAGAAGGGGGAAAAAAAAGGGGGCGGCGGGAGAGGGGGGGAGCGGGACGGGAATAGCAGGGGGATGTTGGGCAGGGTACGAAGAGAGTGAAGTGGCTTGATTACTCATGCAGTGATACTACTGGGTTTAGGAAGACGACTCATAGCATTACCATGCCAGGCAGGTTGCTTTGGGCATTGAGAAAAAGCAAGAAGGGGCAGGGAGGAAGAAAAGGAGGGGGAAGGGGTGGGGGGAGGGGTGGGTGGGGTTGGGTGTATATGCGAAAAAAGGGGAGGGTGTCAGTGACGCGTGATAGAGGCAACAACCACCTCCCCCCCCCCAAACACCAGCCCCCATACACAAACACCATCTTATCTCAACACCAGCCCTTAACCCCACACATGCCCTTTCCCCCCCACACACCCCTTCCCTCCCCGCACACACCCCTCCCAACACACCTTTATCGCCGTTCTCGAGGTGAGACTGACAGCAATCGGAAGACAATTGGGAAGGGAAAGGGAGTAACGATTAGGGGAGAGTGGGAGTGGAGGGTGGGGGAATGTTGGGGGAGGAGGGGAGAGAAAGAAGAGATGGAGGGAGACATAAGTGCTGGAACGACCCAGCTATAACGTACTCTCTTGCCCGAAGATACAAGGTACAGCATACACATAATTGAACGTGAAAGCGCATACCTATGCCAGCCATGCGCGATGGCAAACAACAGAACGTTTCTAGGCAATAAAAAAAAAGGCGGTGTTGTGCAATTCCCTCAATCAGGAGGACGGTAACACAGAAAACGGAAAACAATCACATGACTCAAGGCTGGCTGGTTCATCAAAGCTCACACAACCCCCATACAGGCTTTTCAGGCACCTCGAAATTAGTCTCAACTCAAACACCCCCCAACAGACTCTTCAAGCCCCTCATGATAAATCTGACTCACACAACCCCCCAACAGAACCGATATCAATGAACCAGCCGGGATACACGTGAAAGTTCTGCTCCAAGTGGCTTCAAGACGCCTCATTACTCACATGCACCGCACTGCACCACACTGCACCGCACCTTATCTATGAAGGAGACGGGATACACGTGGAGGATCTGCTCAAAAAACCTTCACACTTCCTTTTCTCAGTAGATGGCATCGCACTGCACCGCACCCCACCGCACCTTATCTATGAACGAGACGGGGTACACGTGAAAGCTCTGCTCAAACGAGCCGAGGGGCTGACCCATGCCCCCAAACGGCGGAAAGTACTGCCGTGGGGAGGGGGTAAGGGGGGGGGAAGAAGGGGAAGAAGGGGAGGGGGGGGGAGGGGTGGGGGAATTGTGGATGACGGAGGTGGAGGGAGAATGTTTAGATTCAGGGAACGGCAGAGAGGAGAAGGCCATGACCTCATTGGAGCTCAGCGGCTGACCCATGCCCCCAGACGGCAGAAAATACTACATGGATCGAGGGTAAGTTGATGTTACTTTTGAGAATTCTCAAAAGTAACGTCAAAAGAGCGGCAGAAAGGAGAAGGTCATGATCTCATTCAGGCTCAGTGGCTGACCCATGCCCCCAGACGGCAGAAAATACTACATGGATCGAGGGTAAGTTGATGTTACTTTTGAGAATTCTCAAAAGTAACGTCAAAAGAGCGGCAGAAAGGAGAAGGTCATGATCTCATTCAGGCTCAGTGGCTGACCCATGCCCCCAGACGGCAGAAAATACTACATGGATCGAGGGTAAGTTGATGTTACTTTTGAGAATTCTCAAAAGTAACGTCAAAAGAGCGGCAGAAAGGAGAAGGTCATGATCTCATTCAGGCTCAGTGGCTGACCCATGCCCCCAGACGGCAGAAAATACTACATGGATCGAGGGTAAGTTGATGTTACTTTTGAGAATTCTCAAAAGTAACGTCAAAAGAGCGGCAGAAAGGAGAAGGTCATGATCTCATTCAGGCTCAGTGGCTGACCCATGCCCCCCGACGGCAGAAAATACTACATGGATCGAGGGTAAGTTGATGTTACTTTTGAGAATTCTCAAAAGTAACGTCAAAAGAGCGGCAGAAAGGAGAAGGTCATGATCTCATTCAGGCTCAGTGGCTGACCCATGCCCCCAGACGGCAGAAAATACTACATGGATCGAGGGTAAGTTGATGTTACTTTTGAGAATTCTCAAAAGTAACGTCAAAAGAGCGGCAGAAAGGAGAAGGTCATGATCTCATTCAGGCTCAGTGGCTGACCCATGCCCCCAGACGGCAGAAAATACTACATGGATCGAGGGTAAGTTGATGTTACTTTTGAGAATTCTCAAAAGTAACGTCAAAAGAGCGGCAGAAAGGAGAAGGTCATGATCTCATTCAGGCTCAGTGGCTGACCCATGCCCCCAGACGGCAGAAAATACTACATGGATCGAGGGTAAGTTGATGTTACTTTTGAGAATTCTCAAAAGTAACGTCAAAAGAGCGGCAGAAAGGAGAAGGTCATGATCTCATTCAGGCTCAGTGGCTGACCCATGCCCCCAGACGGCAGAAAATACTACATGGATCGAGGGTAAGTTGATGTTACTTTTGAGAATTCTCAAAAGTAACGTCAAAAGAGCGGCAGAAAGGAGAAGGTCATGATCTCATTCAGGCTCAGTGGCTGACCCATGCCCCCAGACGGCAGAAAATACTACATGGATCGAGGGTAAGTTGATGTTACTTTTGAGAATTCTCAAAAGTAACGTCAAAAGAGCGGCAGAAAGGAGAAGGTCATGATCTCATTCAGGCTCAGTGGCTGACCCATGCCCCCAGACGGCAGAAAATACTACATGGATCGAGGGGAAGTTGATGTTACTTTTGAGAATTCTCAAAAGTAACGTCAAAAGAGCGGCAGAAAGGAGAAGGTCATGATCTCATTCAGGCTCAGTGGCTGACCCATGCCCCCAGACGGCAGAAAATACTACATGGATCGAGGGTAAGTTGATGTTACTTTTGAGAATTCTCAAAAGTAACGTCAAAAGAGCGGCAGAAAGGAGAAGGTCATGATCTCATTCAGGCTCAGTGGCTGACCCATGCCCCCAGACGGCAGAAAATACTACATGGATCGAGGGTAAGTTGATGTTACTTTTGAGAATTCTCAAAAGTAACGTCAAAAGAGCGGCAGAAAGGAGAAGGTCATGATCTCATTCAGGCTCAGTGGCTGACCCATGCCCCCAGACGGCAGAAAATACTACATGGATCGAGGGTAAGTTGATGTTACTTTTGAGAATTCTCAAAAGTAACGTCAAAAGAGCGGCAGAAAGGAGAAGGTCATGATCTCATTCAGGCTCAGTGGCTGACCCATGCCCCCCGACGGCAGAAAATACTGCATGGATCGAGGGTAAGTTGATGTTACTTTTGAGAATTCTCAAAAGTAACGTCAAAAGAGCGGCAGAAAGGAGAAGGTCATGATCTCATTCAGGCTCAGTGGCTGACCCATGCCCCCAGACGGCAGAAAATACTACATGGATCGAGGGTAAGTTGATGTTACTTTTGAGAATTCTCAAAAGTAACGTCAAAAGAGCGGCAGAAAGGAGAAGGTCATGATCTCATTCAGGCTCAGTGGCTGACCCATGCCCCCAGACGGCAGAAAATACTACATGGATCGAGGGTAAGTTGATGTTACTTTTGAGAATTCTCAAAAGTAACGTCAAAAGAGCGGCAGAAAGGAGAAGGTCATGATCTCATTCAGGCTCAGTGGCTGACCCATGCCCCCAGACGGCAGAAAATACTACATGGATCGAGGGTAAGTTGATGTTACTTTTGAGAATTCTCAAAAGTAACGTCAAAAGAGCGGCAGAAAGGAGAAGGTCATGATCTCATTCAGGCTCAGTGGCTGACCCATGCCCCCAGACGGCAGAAAATACTACATGGATCGAGGGTAAGTTGATGTTACTTTTGAGAATTCTCAAAAGTAACGTCAAAAGAGCGGCAGAAAGGAGAAGGTCATGATCTCATTCAGGCTCAGTGGCTGACCCATGCCCCCAGACGGCAGAAAATACTACATGGATCGAGGGTAAGTTGATGTTACTTTTGAGAATTCTCAAAAGTAACGTCAAAAGAGCGGCAGAAAGGAGAAGGTCATGATCTCATTCAGGCTCAGTGGCTGACCCATGCCCCCAGACGGCAGAAAATACTACATGGATCGAGGGTAAGTTGATGTTACTTTTGAGAATTCTCAAAAGTAACGTCAAAAGAGCGGCAGAAAGGAGAAGGTCATGATCTCATTCAGGCTCAGTGGCTGACCCATGCCCCCAGACGGCAGAAAATACTACATGGATCGAGGGTAAGTTGATGTTACTTTTGAGAATTCTCAAAAGTAACATCAAAAGAGCGGCAGAAAGGAGAAGGTCATGATCTCATTCAGGCTCAGTGGCTGACCCATGCCCCCAGACGGCAGAAAATACTACATGGATCGAGGGTAAGTTGATGTTACTTTTGAGAATTCTCAAAAGTAACGTCAAAAGAGCGGCAGAAAGGAGAAGGTCATGATCTCATTCAGGCTCAGTGGCTGACCCATGCCCCCAGACGGCAGAAAATACTACATGGATCGAGGGTAAGTTGATGTTACTTTTGAGAATTCTCAAAAGTAACGTCAAAAGAGCGGCAGAAAGGAGAAGGTCATGATCTCATTCAGGCTCAGTGGCTGACCCATGCCCCCCGACGGCAGAAAATACTACATGGATCGAGGGGAAGTTGATGTTACTTTTGAGAATTCTCAAAAGTAACGTCAAAAGAGCGGCAGAAAGGAGAAGGTCATGATCTCATTCAGGCTCAGTGGCTGACCCATGCCCCCAGACGGCAGAAAATACTACATGGATCGAGGGTAAGTTGATGTTACTTTTGAGAATTCTCAAAAGTAACGTCAAAAGAGCGGCAGAAAGGAGAAGGTCATGATCTCATTCAGGCTCAGTGGCTGACCCATGCCCCCAGACGGCAGAAAATACTACATGGATCGAGGGTAAGTTGATGTTACTTTTGAGAATTCTCAAAAGTAACGTCAAAAGAGCGGCAGAAAGGAGAAGGTCATGATCTCATTCAGGCTCAGTGGCTGACCCATGCCCCCAGACGGCAGAAAATACTACATGGATCGAGGGTAAGTTGATGTTACTTTTGAGAATTCTCAAAAGTAACGTCAAAAGAGCGGCAGAAAGGAGAAGGTCATGATCTCATTCAGGCTCAGTGGCTGACCCATGCCCCCAGACGGCAGAAAATACTACATGGATCGAGGGTAAGTTGATGTTACTTTTGAGAATTCTCAAAAGTAACGTCAAAAGAGCGGCAGAAAGGAGAAGGTCATGATCTCATTCAGGCTCAGTGGCTGACCCATGCCCCCAGACGGCAGAAAATACTACATGGATCGAGGGTAAGTTGATGTTACTTTTGAGAATTCTCAAAAGTAACGTCAAAAGAGCGGCAGAAAGGAGAAGGTCATGATCTCATTCAGGCTCAGTGGCTGACCCATGCCCCCAGACGGCAGAAAATACTACATGGATCGAGGGTAAGTTGATGTTACTTTTGAGAATTCTCAAAAGTAACGTCAAAAGAGCGGCAGAAAGGAGAAGGTCATGATCTCATTCAGGCTCAGTGGCTGACCCATGCCCCCAGACGGCAGAAAATACTACATGGATCGAGGGTAAGTTGATGTTACTTTTGAGAATTCTCAAAAGTAACGTCAAAAGAGCGGCAGAAAGGAGAAGGTCATGATCTCATTCAGGCTCAGTGGCTGACCCATGCCCCCAGACGGCAGAAAATACTACATGGATCGAGGGTAAGTTGATGTTACTTTTGAGAATTCTCAAAAGTAACGTCAAAAGAGCGGCAGAAAGGAGAAGGTCATGATCTCATTCAGGCTCAGTGGCTGACCCATGCCCCCAGACGGCAGAAAATACTACATGGATCGAGGGTAAGTTGATGTTACTTTTGAGAATTCTCAAAAGTAACGTCAAAAGAGCGGCAGAAAGGAGAAGGTCATGATCTCATTCAGGCTCAGTGGCTGACCCATGCCCCCAGACGGCAGAAAATACTACATGGATCGAGGGTAAGTTGATGTTACTTTTGAGAATTCTCAAAAGTAACGTCAAAAGAGCGGCAGAAAGGAGAAGGTCATGATCTCATTCAGGCTCAGTGGCTGACCCATGCCCCCAGACGGCAGAAAATACTACATGGATCGAGGGTAAGTTGATGTTACTTTTGAGAATTCTCAAAAGTAACGTCAAAAGAGCGGCAGAAAGGAGAAGGTCATGATCTCATTCAGGCTCAGTGGCTGACCCATGCCCCCAGACGGCAGAAAATACTACATGGATCGAGGGTAAGTTGATGTTACTTTTGAGAATTCTCAAAAGTAACGTCAAAAGAGCGGCAGAAAGGAGAAGGTCATGATCTCATTCAGGCTCAGTGGCTGACCCATGCCCC